CTTTTATAAAATTTCCTCCTGTGTACCTCTTTGGCAGAATCTTATAAATGCTTTAAATGTGTTTAAGAGAGTGAGCAAGCTCTGGTCTGCTGGCTCACTTACCAAATGCCCACAATGGTCTCCTGCTGGGGTTGAAACTGGAAGCTGGGAACTCAATCCAGACTGCTCATTGCAGGCAGCAGGAACCCAGTCACTTAGGCTATTACTGCTGCTTTCCAGGAGCTGCTGCAGTAGTATGCTGAATTCGAGAGTCAGTCAGGAATCAAACCCAGGCAATCCAATGTGGAGTGCACACATGCTAACTATAGGGAGAGGACTTGACCTTGATGGGGGTCATGCCATCCTAAGAACTCACGTTTCACTTTGTTGTGCTTTGGTCTTGCCTTCTTGTGCCCAAGTTTCACCCTGCCTATTTCTGCATTTTTTCAAAATTCCCCCTGCCCACCAAGACCCTTGGCCTTATTAGGAAAAGCATGCACTCCCAGCCATTCAGAACTGCATCCACACTTGCCGTACACTCCCAGCTTATCAGGGCTACAACCTCATTTGTGCCATTTTAGACTCAATGTAAATTCTCTCTCCCCTGCAGCAGCTGCCATCCTCCCTTTCTTCCCGGGGATGGTCATTGTCAGTCAATCTCTTGTGAGGCTTGTGATGTGTTGAGTGGTGAGTTTGGCTTCTTCATCACCAAGAAACCCAGCACTAACTACTAGGCCAAAAGCCTACTCCTCAGGCATTCTTGACATATCTTGTTTATATTTTCATTCAGCATAAAGTAATGTTATAGTTTTGCTTTGATTTTCTCTTTGAACAATTACTTAAAAACACATTATATAGTTTTTAAATATTTGGGATTTTTCTGGGGGCCTTTTTACTATCGATTTCCAATGCAATTCTGTGGTCTAAGACCAAACCTGGTATTATTTTAAACTTTGTAAATACATTAAGACTCATCCTGTGTACCAGAATATAGTACATATTTATATTCTACATGCAATTGAAAAGATAAACATTATTCTATTCTTTATTCTAGAATGTCAATTAGGTCAAGTTGATTGACTGTGTTGTTCAAGTCTTCTATAGCCTTATTTTCTATTACCATGTTGTACCAGTGTTTGAGATATGGGACAGATTTTCTGGCTAAACTTATAATTTTTTTCTCTCTATGCAAGTTTGTTAGATTTTAGTTCATATGTTTTGAAGCTATGTTATTTGGTATAGAAGCAGTTAAAGTTTTAGGCTTTCTCATGTATTAACCTGTCATTATGAAATAATCTTTGCTTCATAATGTACTTTGCTTTGAAATCTATTTGATTTTATATTATAATCCAGTTTCCTTTTGGTTAGTTTATCTTTTTTCTTTCATTTCTTAGTTTATTTCTGTATTAGAATGTATTTCTTCTAGGCAGCATATATGGGTTAAGAACTGGGTGATATATCACTTACTAAATGGTGAAAAGATATATTATTTAATGTCTCACAGTGGCTATTTTGATGTTCCTAGGGCTGGGGGCTGGGAACATTCTGACTTACAGAGGATAAACTAAACCTCATGACTGATGAAAATTAGCCTCCTCTTCTAACTCTTGGTTCTTGTCCATGACCTTTTGGCTGAGGAATACATTACACTCCAAATAAAATTGCTCCTTCCTCTCCCAGAGTGTCTTTGAATGGGGGCAATCAGAACCTGGTAAATGTTAGGTTCTTCCTTCATGAGGCAGTCACAGGGCCTGAGCGCATCAGCTTCACAATTCGTGGCTGCTTTGGGGTCTGTGGTCACAACCCCAGTCTCTGCAGACAGACGCGGAGCTCAGAAGAGGCTGATGAATTTGAGGTTTTTGCTGTTTTCATTGCTGGTGTCAACTTTTGGCCTCTCTACTGATAAAATATCCTGACTTTGAATTAACCCTCTCCAGTTCTTAAATCTCACCCGAGAATGGATTTTGAGGCTCTGGAAAGTTTAGGCTTACCATATGGCTGAGGACAGACAAGCCACCAGGGCTAAGAACTTGTAAATCTGATCATGAGAAGCAGCTGCCCAGGCTGTACACCATGGCCAGAATGGCCCCACTGACCCAGAAATTTGGGCTGCTAATTCCTAGCTATGGTTTATAATTGAAGCACTTCAATTCAGCAATCACTTGTTAACATTTCCCCCTCTTCCTCTGTCTCAAGCTTGGCAATATCTCAGCTCAGCCAGTCTGTGTGCTAGGTTCAGGGTGATCTGTCTCCTTTGAACTTCTGCTATACATGGTCTGGCCAATGTTTTTCATCACTCAAGACTTAGTTGGAAGAGGCTACCTGAGGTATGGGCCCTGAGCAGAATAAAGATGGTCTCTTGGGAATCATAACACACACCTGTGACATTTCAGCATTATCCAAAATTTTCTATAGTGTTTTAGAGGCAATTTCATCCAAGAACTTCTGCGTTAGGGGTTAAAGCTGGCTTGTCTGAATACTAATTTGGGTAGAGGATAGGGAGCAGAAAGGGACTATCCCCCACGTGTGCCCCCGTGAGTCCACACAGCCTCTGAGAGGTTCTACCTGGAAGATCAGCCCCTACTCTTACTGAGGCTGTCTCTTCCATGCTCCATGCTCACTGCATTCCCTGAATGCTCACTGAGACCATCTTTATTCTGGCCAGTGAGGGCCCATAACTCATGATGCTTCTCCCAACTAAGTCTTGAGAGATGAAGAACACTGACCAGACCATGTATAGCAGAAGTCCAGCTATTACAGCCCCAAAGACAGCCTGTTATCTTCACGTCAGTTCTGTGGAAAATCAGGACCTTGGTCTCTGCAAACTTGCTCTCCAATGCAGGCAAACAACCTCTATAACAATTAGCTCCGAATAGTCAGGACTTGATAAATAGCTTCTAAATCTTCTAATTTTTGGAAGATTTTGTTTATTTGAAAGGTAGGATTTGAGGGAAAGAGAGAAATCTTCCATTTGTTGGTTCACAAATGGCTGTGATGGCTGGAGCTGAGTCAATCCAAGACAAAGTCCCCCACATAGTTAGCGATAACCCACGTCCTTGAGCCATCACCTGCTGTCTCCCAGGGTGTGCATTAGCAGGAATTTGGAGTTACAAGTGGAGCCAAGATTTGAACCAAGCACTTTGCTGTGGGATGCAGGCATTTCAAGCAGCATCTTAACTCTAGGCCAAATACCCACCCCTACATTTTTTTTTCCCTACATACTTAAAAATAGTAAAAAAAAAAAAAAATTAAGTTGTCTTGCTATCAAACATGGCACCTCAGACACATTGTAGAGTTTTCACTTCTTAGAGATTTTACATCCAGTATTTTTGAAGCCAGACTTATGAACAATGGAAAGTGGTGTTTCCTTGAAATTCCTTGGAATTGCAGGTACTCTGTCGCTAGCTGGAACCTTATCATTTGCAAAGCCATCTCAGTACCCGTTCTCTCTCCCACAGCTTCATTCTCACTGCTGCTGCCATCCTCCAACCCAGACCTTGAGCACGACACTGCGTTCTTCGGTTTTTGACCCTAGTGCCTACCTATGACTAGGTACTGGATGAGAATGTGCAAGGCGACAAAGAATGGAGGCTAAGTTTAATTGATAAGCAGAGTTTGCTGGCATCAGGTAAGAATGAGCAGTTGTTAGAAAAGACAGCCAACTCAAGCTCAGCTGCACTATACCTCTCTTTTTGCTAAAGGAAATGTGGAGGATGACTCTCTCCAATGCTGGGAAGCTGTCAGGCTTTAGTCCCTGGGAGCTTAGTGGACAGGTTGACTGTCAGTCCCGTGCAGAGACATATACTTTGCCCCTTCTCCAGTTTACGGAGAGAAGCAGAGACAGATCTTCCTTCTGCTGGTTCATTCCCCAAGTGTCTGCAACAGCTGGTGGTAAGCTGATCCAAAGCCAGGAACCAGAAACTTTCTCTGGGTTTCCTATGCAGATACAGGATCCCAAGGCTGTGAGCCATCCTCTCTTGTTTTCCCAGGCCACAAGCAGTGAGCTATATGGGAAATGGAGCAGCCAGAACAGGAACTGGTGCCCGCATGGGATCCCACGCAAGCAAGGTGAGCACTTTAGCCACAACATATTAATGCTGGGCCTATTTTTGCCTTTTAATGCATTGTCACCTGGTTCAAACACTTTATCTCTTGCAGCAGAGAAATGATTCTTATATGAAGGTCAAAGGAGTCACCAAAAGTCACTTAGAAAATGGTAAGGTCAGAGTAGAACTCAGATTTCCAAAATTCCAGCTCAGTGTGTGGCCATGTGTAAAAGGAAGGGGTTAAAAAAAAAAAAAGGCAAACCTGAAAGCAGGTGAGGTATCTGCCTCAATTTTGGTATCCAATGAACCATGGTCTGAGTGGCTCTTTCCCTGGCCCTGGCTGAGTTTCTTATATGGTACATCAGTTACTGAAAATCAGAAGTGTTGAAATGACTCCCATCAGACAAGTGCTTGTGGCAGGTATTGGGAAGTTCATCATGCTTACTTAGCTAAGTCATCATCCAAGTTGGAGACTAGTGCAGCGGGCCACCGGTTCCCTCTGTGCATCTCCTATTGAACTAAGATGCAGTGGGTCACACAGGTAGGACAGACCGAATGCTCTTTTATTGGAGGTATCACCACAGAACAGGAGGTCACCGCTATCCCTGTCCCCATAAACCTCGGAAGCAGAAGGAGGAGGGTACACCCTGGCCCAAGAAGGGCCTGGAATCCATCACAGCCCCTCTCTTCCAAGGCAGATGAGGGACTGGTTCTCTACTGCCTTGGCATTCACTGCCTCCAGCTGCCTCCCAGGCCAGCCATTGCAGGACAGGGCAGGGTAGGGCAGGGCAGGGCAGGGCAGGGGAGAAACCTCAAACCAAATGTCTAGGGCTCCTTCTGCAGCCACTTAAGCTTCAATAGCCACCCCTCTCCCTCCACTGCCCCACCCAATCCCTTCTTTTCAGGAAGGAGCTTCAGGAAGGAGCCAGGCACAGTGTGGTCCATTGCTGGTGGGAGCACAGATGTGTGGGACTCTTAGGGAAGGAACGGCAGGAACACAGAGAAGCCCACAAGGGTGGAGGGGAGCTTCCAAGCTGGGGCAGGACTGGCAAAGAGGCGGGCGACGGCCACGTTGGGGTTGGCCTGTGTGGGCTCAAACCACTTTTGGAGACACCGACCACTGCCCTGGTGCTCTGTGCTCGCCTTGAATGTGTTATTCCAAATCTTCTCACACAGATCAGCTGGGGTGGGGAAGTAGTGGGGGAATGGGCGGCAGGGTGCCCCTGCAGGGCAGCGGTTCCTCCCTGTGGAGGAAATAGCAAGGGTTGGGCAAGTTAGCTCCTACTCAGCCATTTCCCCCCACATCCTCCATCCTGGGGGAGCACAAGGAGTTTTGCACCTGCTGTTCCCTGCCACTCACCCCGACTCCAGTCCCAACCATCATGCCAGTTAGACTTGCAAGTGTAGGATGTGCGGCAGTCTTCCCACCACTGCTCACAGTCCTCGTGACATAATGGCACACCCATGGCTCGCTGTCCTGGCCCATTGGGGCCCACCTAGGTGTGGCACAGTGAGAGACAAGAACATTACACACAGCATTGAAGACTATTCATAGCTAATATTATTTGGGTTAGGTGCTATCTGTATGTTCTCTATGTAAAATACTAGCAATTTTTTTAAAAAAAATAAGACAATGACATTAAGTAATAAAGTAGTTTGTCCCAAGCTATGCAGCTAGGAGTTACAGGGAAAGGATTTGAACTTGGGTCCATGCAATACTACAAAACCTCTCTTGGCGAGAGTCCTTCGCCCTATTCTTCTCATGGGGCCAGCCTCCCTCCTATAGTTCTCCAGGACTGTAGGTGGCTTCCTCCCCATCCCTGCTCTTATCCACATTGGGGTTAACTTTTCCTGTTTCTGCAAACATCCTAAAGTTGCCAGCATTGAGATTGGATAGAAGCTTGGACTCTTTGTAACGGGGCTCTGTCTCCCATCCACCCACCAGCTGGATCCATGGGCCCAGGTTTGGGGAGCACTCATAGAAGCAGATGGCTTGAATGAAATGCTTATGACACTCTGGGGTCAACAATCCGCAGTGAAAGAAGCTGAAGTTGTAGAGTGGGGACACATCCAGGTGGGCTTCCCAGCTTGTGGTGGCGGTGCAGCAGGCATTGTCCTTCCAGGGCTCGCACTGAAAGCAGGGGAAGAAGTAAAAGACACGGGAAGGAAGAGGCTTGGGCTGGTGAGTGTCCAGGGCAGAAGCATGACAGGAAAACATCCCACAGGGGAAGAGCTGGCAAACGGGCTGCCATTGGGTCAGCAGTGCCCTGGAGAGGATGACCCCAGTCATCTGTCAACCTTAACCCACAGGGTAGCATCACCATTCACTGGCCCCAGTGTCAAGTGTCCCTGTAGGGACACTGCTCCTGGGAGGCAACAGAGACCTTGGTGGGGCATGGCGCCGGTAGAGGAAGAAGCCTCAGGAGAAATTGGAGTTACCTGGGTGGAAGGGACTCAGACTTAAGCAGCAGTACTGCTTCTCTCACAGCCCCGCAGAAAGCCTGTAAAAGCTCTGGGTGGGATTGGTAGGAAGGCTTATTTGAACCTCTGTCCAACCTGCAATGGGTCTTTGGGGTCACCACAGCAGATGGGACACTGATGGTCTCATGTAACACTAAGGTCTCAACAAGGCATAGTAGTCCCCCTTTGGCTGCCTTTGCTCAAATCCCCACCCAAAGATGATCCAGATGATCCAGGCTGATGGGATCCAGAGACCGTCTTGGTATCTATGTCCCTTCTCTGGCCTTCAAAAGCCCACCCTACCCTCGGTCCCTACCACACCTCCACATAGAGCTCATCCTCAGGACCTGGCTCCCTCTTGTGGTGTTTGGAATTCATGCAGATGTTGAGCAGCTTGTCCCCAGCCCAGGTAGGCAGGGCCATCCACAACCCAAGCAGGAGCCACCACCACTGCTGCATGGCTGAGATGTGCTGTGGAGAGAGACACACGCTGCTCAGGCAATGGAGGGGACACCCTACCCCACTGCCTCCATCATAGCAGACACTGGACAAGCAGTGTGGACTCTGAGGCTCCCACAGTGGTGGCAGCACTCCAACTGCTCCTGGGACCTCCCACCTAAGACACATCACAGTCAGAGCAGCAGACAGCCCCAACTCCAGCCAGTGGAGCAATATAGACACTTAAGTTCAGGGATGGGGAGAGACCAGCTTTTAGTTGAAGGCCAGAATAGGTGTTTCCTAGTCCTTCTTCCATGGGAGGGAAACATTTTCTTTCCAGTCTTTCTTCCATGGAAAGGAAACTCTTTCTTCTTCTCTTTCTCCCTCCCTCTCTCCTTAAAGATTTGTTTATTTGGAAGGGTTACATAGAGAGGGAAAGACCTCAAGATGAAGGCTAGAATGGCCAGAGTTGGGCAAAGCAGAAGCCAGCAGCCAAATGCTTCTTCCAGATCTCCCACATGGGTAGCAGGGGCCCAGGCACATTATGAGGGAGCTCGATTGTAAGTCGAACAGCTGAGACATGAACCATTGCCCATATGTGGCAGCTCAATCACAAAGCCACAACACCGGTTCCAGGAAGTAGCCTTTCAACTCAGTAACATGTGGATTAGGAATTTGGAGCTTTGACCCTGGCTCACAGAAACCCACGAGTGAGCTGAGGAGCTAAACAAGTGCTCAGTACTCAGATTCTCCATAGAACCAAAGGGCCTCCTGGAATCCAGGCATGTGTGTGGCTAGGGCTATGCTTACCTGCCCGAGAATAGTAGCTATTTCTATCATTCTCAACCCGTTCAAACATATTTGAGCAAAGGCAGAAACTGTGACCTTGCTGACTTGTCAGAGCTGGGAGGCTTGCACAGGCAGGAGTCAAACCCACCCTGGGCACAGCCATGAGGTGGTTGGTCTTCACCTGGGGATTTGCTGAGCCTTAGATCCCAGCCCTGTTTCAGGTAGTAATAAAAGCAGAGCAGTAGAAAGAGACACCACCTGCTCCCACATCCCCCCAAAAAGCAGACGAGCTCCTTGCCTCATGCCCCCCAAGCTTTTAGGAAACAGGGTGCTCCCCCACCCAGCAGCCCATGGCCTGGGAGGAGCTTGCCCTGGGCTGTCACAGTGAAACTAAGAACTTGTAGCCGCTCTCAAGTTTAGCGCCACAAACACCCAGGAAATGGAGGCCTCATCAGAACCTGGCTTTCTTTCCCAAGCCTGTCCCAGAGGTTGCTCTTCTGGCAGTGCCAGTTTCAAAGGGACACTTGGAAGCCACTGAGCGGTTGGAACACAACAGGTGTGGTAGAGGGAAGAGGAAATATGCTGCGCTGCCAGCATGCTCGTCGTACTCACTTTCAGAGCAGGAGCCTGCAGGAACTGTCTCCCCAGCCACGGACTGTCGGTGAGGCCCAGAGTGCACCACAGCCCACTCATTTATTGCCCAGTCCTGCCTCTACAAGGTGCAGGTGTGGGAGCAGGTGCAACACGCAGGTGGCTGCAGTGAAACAAGGCCCATCCGCCTTGTTCCGGCTTCCTGAGACAAAGAGGCCCTGTGTTGGGTAAGATCCAGGCTGCCTGTGTCAGCCAGTGCTGCCCACCAACTGGGTGACCCTGTGAGGAATTCCCCCAGACTATGTGGGAAGACACCCCAGTTTCTATCTGCAGAGGGAAGTTGTCATAACCAGATTTATGGGAAAGAAGAGATTCAACAGAAGTTCATTAGAGGACTTGGAGTGCTCGCTGGTGCAGAGTAAGTCTTGAGGGTTTTAACTCTTGTTGTCTTATCTTTTCAAGCCCTTTCCCTGTCTGTGGTTTGGGGCCTGGTGCCCCCTTCACCCACACAGTTTCAATTTCCTGCTGGAGAGTGGGCAGGCTGCAGGGCTGAAGTGTGACTGTGAGAGTTCCATGGGTGCCCAAAGCCACAGTAAACTCCAGGAGTGTCCTGCCCCTCAACCCACAGGACAGCCTTGCTCAGCATGCAGGGATGGTGCTCCTGGGAGGCAGTCTGTAGGGGTCAAGTTCATCACAAGGTCGTTTTCTGCCAAGGAGGGGCCAGCTGGGAAACCTGCACAGGACTGCTTGGAGAGTCCCAGCAAGGAGAGTGATCCTGGAAATGGAGCCCATTTCTTTGTTCCTTCCTCCCAGGTTCTGTCTCCAAAGGAGAAATAGCAGAAATAGCTGATTTCTTAGGGAGAGATAGGAAATGAAAACAAAACACTTGAGAACATTTTTTAATTAAAGCAAATAGAGTACTTGCAGTGTTTTTCAGACACACAGCTGATGTGCAAAGCGAGTATTAATCACATTTTAAAGTTAATGTCTTCATGTTAGGTTTTAAACTCGTCTCATTCTCCGCACTTGAGAAATCATCGGTCTTGAGCACTAATGAGGGTCCGAGCCACTCAGGGCCACTGCACTGCCCCAGTCAAGCCCCATGAGATGGTAGCTGTGGGGATCCAGAGGCTCAGCCAAGGAGTAGCAGAGCTGGGGGCCTGAGCTCCGCATAGGTGACCCCTTATCCGCTGCGGGACAGGCAGATGACAGGGAGACCTCACAGGGCTGAAAAGCAGTGTCTGCCTTGGTCTCAGGTGAAGTCAGGCTTTGAAAGTCAAATGCCTGGGTCAGCTCATGCGTGCTGGGAGGCATGCACTGCTGACCCCGGGGAACAGTGCCAGGCACCGCCCCTGTCTGCACGTTGCTGCTTGAGGAGCGCTGCAGTCCCCCCTCTTAAACACCAAATGATAACAGCACCTCCAGAGGAAGACCCCCCCACCCTTGTGTCTTGTTCCCTTCTCTCCAGACATTCTGGAAGCTCTAGGCCTTGAAGAGCCCATAGATTACAGGTTTAATGCTGAGTACTAAATGGCTGTGGATGTGGCTGAGACAAGAAATCAGAAGTGAATCACAGAAGTAATTATCGTAATGGCAAACTGGTCCTCTGGGCCACGTGCTTCCTGTGTTTCATGGGGAAGGAGCAGGATGAGGAGCTGCTGTGCAAGGCCTCCAGGACAAAGCTGTAGGAAATGAGGGGGAAATTACAGGGCCATAGCAGCTGCAGGTGGAGAGCGGGCAGTGGGGAGGGATTAGCAAGGCTGCCTTTCCGAGAGAACCACCAGGATGCCTGGCTTCTGCTCCCTATATATGAAGCTCTCAGCCCTTGAGCGAAGCTCGCTTTGCCTCATTGTGATTCAGGCTTCCAGAGAAATCTGTTTTCTCACCAAAAGCTGCTAATTCCAAGCTGGCTCTGTGATTGGAGCCATTTGAAGTGGCTGATCCACAACAGTTCTAAACAACAACAACCAAACTGATGGTTAAATTGCCAAGAAGGTGCAGGGCCACTCAGTGGGTTCTGAAAGAGGCAGCAGAGTAGGGGGGCAGCTCAGCCTTGGCTGTCATTTGGGACCATGGGGGTTGTTGGTATTAATGACTACTACCCATCTCCTTGCCAAGCTCACCCATGGGGCAGAAGCCTGCTCAGTTTGAGAAAAGACTAGTAAGGTCGAGACAGCCGCAGGGAGCCTCCTGGAAGGTTAGGTATGAGCAGGGACTCCGAGGACTGAACCCACAGTGCCGGACTCTGTGCCACCTTGATTACCATGAATACCTGCATACCTAGGACTCTGGTGGTTTTTTTTTTTTTTTAAGATTTATTTATTTTTATTGGAAAGTCAGATTTATAGAGAGGAAGAGAGAGAGAGAGGAAGATCTTCCATCTGGTGATTTACTCACCAAGCGGCCTCAACAACTGGAACCGCACCTATCTGAAGCCAGAATCCTGGAGCTTCTTGCAGGTCCGCCACGCAGGTGCAGGGTACCAAGGCTCTGGGCCATCCTCCACTGCTTTTCCAGGCCACAGGCAGGGAGCTGGATGGGAAGCAGGGATGCCAGGATTGGAACTGGCGCCCATATGGAATCCTGAAGTATGCAAGGTGAGGGCTTTAGCTGCTAGGCTACCGCACTGGGCCTGCCCAGACTATCTTAAATCTCCTAGTCTCAGTTCCCTTGAATACCTGTTTACCCAGCACTAACCATAAACCTCCCAGCTCTCAACCTCTTTAAATCCCACTTGCCTAATCAAGCTTAGTGACCTCCAGGTTTAAACTGACCCAGCATGATAGCCTAGCCTAGTGACTACAGTCCTTCCCTTGTACACGTGCCAGAAACCCAAGTGGGCACTGGTTCTGATCCTGGTGGCCCCACTTCCCATCCAGCTCCCTGCTTGTGGCCTGTGAAAGCAGTGGAGGATGGCCTAGAGCCTGGGTGCCCTGCACTTGTCTGGGGGATCTGGAAGAAGCTACTGGCTGTGGACCAGCTCAGCTTGTGCTGTGGCCGCTTGGGGACTGAATCATCAGATGGAAAAATCTTCCTCTCTGTCTCTTTCTGTCTGTATATCTGATTTTCCAATAAAAATAAAAATAAATCTTAAAAAAAAACTGTACTGCACCAATCCCTTGAGGCATTTATTCCTGATGTCCACCTGCAGCCGCATCTGCCAATCCTTGACCCCACACTCCCAGTCTCTCTACCCCGAGACCATAAAAGATGCCTCTTTGTTCTCTCTCTCTCCCCCCGTCTCCTGCTCTGCCCCTCTCCCCTCTATGCTCTCACCTTCTCCTTCCCCAAGCTTACTACCCTCACTTGCTGAGTCTGGTATCTTGAATATCAATGGACCATCCTTGTATAAATCAAGGGTGTTATTTTCTTCTTCCCTCTCCATCCCTCTGGTTTCCAAACCTGTGGATTTAACTGGCAGCTCACCTGCTTTTGTGTCTGTTTCCCTGCTCTCTGCCATCTAGGCCTCCATCAGCTCTTGCCACAGTTACTGTAGCAACAGCATAACTCGTTCCTTTTCAGAGCTGGAGCCAGGCAGCAGTCAGAAATATCTAATTCCTAGTGTTTTCTTAGGAAAGTTTTCCAACGTGGGGGAAGTTGCGAAAACTACAATGGACATTCTAATACCCACTACTTAAATT